CCATCCAAATGATTTCTAAACGGGTTTATTAAGCTGAAAAAGTTGCCAAGTTCCCCTTTAAATGTTAATCAAAGTGTGGTTCAGTCAACTCCCACATAAAGATAATTAAAAAGTCCCCCCAGGCTTCTTTAAATGTAGAATAATTTGTTTCTTGCTCTCAATGACAGTTGAATGTAGTTATTTTGTAATAAAAGCCTGTGTATGTGACTAATGCAACACTGCAGAACCAGATTTTGAAGGTAATCAGATGAAATCATGTTAACCCTAGAGCATAAATGTGAAATGCCATTTTGAAAATTTCCATGAAAGAAACCATAAATGTCTAAAATGATCTAAAGGGCAGAATTTGACAATTTATGGGTGGATAATGTTTAGAAATTCGAACATGCCTCAGTTTGTTTTTACTCTTTTAATACAGTTTAAATACATGGTTATTAACAAAGATTTTATACTCATTTTAATGTATGTAAAATTCACAGTACTTTGATATCAAAAGTCACAGAGGGCTGGCTGTGCCTTCATATGGTTGTTTGGTAGTTAGGGTGGTTGGTTTCCTCTGTGTCACTGCTCCAGATAAGTGGCTGTCTTTCTGGGAGAGCAAATAAGTTTTTCCACCTCCTCGCATGCAGCCAAGGTGACCCTTGGTATCGTCGTTTTGCAGTTCTGACAGCAACGACTACGGCCACTGTTACAATTCCCCCACAGAGCCCTGCAAGCAGCAGCCAGGGCCACACACCTTGCAATTCCTCCAAGTAAGGACGTATGGATTCTGCTAGCCTCTGGTCTGGAAAAAAGATACAAGTAGTGGTTTAATACTTAAATTAGACCTAAAATTAACAGATAGATCAGTGAGAAGAAGAATGAAGAAAGACATTAGCAGACAAAATGGAAAGCAGCAATTCCTCAGATGCAAGTCTATGTGGGAAAATAGAAAAATCTCCACTTAGACAGAACTTACTAGCATCTAGCAGATATGAATATTCATATCCAAGGTCCTTGCTGGAAATGAAGAATTCTCTGTTTCGGTGGAGGGGCAGGAAGGGCACCATGTGGTATTCGCTGTTGTGCCCTATAGGAGCGTTAGACTCTGGATACTGTGATGGGGATGGTCTATGCCTCCTGAGCCACTCCTCATAAATGCTTTCATAGAGAATAAAAAAACAAATACAGCGCTGCTGTTAGGTGCAAATGTGTAAGTGTACTGAAATTATAAAATGTGTCAAATGTGTGTGTCTCACCTGTCAACAAAAGCGTGGTGGAGAAGGAATATGGGGTCATTCGCTGAGCCCTGCACTGAGGACATGGAGCCATTCATGAACACATGGAGAGCAGCGTGCATGCCCATGTGAGAACTGTTTCCTAACCCAGTCCGAGGATCCCCGAATCCTGCAAGATGAGAAGTATTTAATTAGGTGGCAGCAGCCTGTAATGGTAATGGCAATGTCAGACAAGCATTGTATTTTTAAACAGGGTGTATATGGCGGGGATAATCCGCATAAGCTCCTCTACAGTGGACTTTCTTTCTTTTTTATTAAGTACAGTAGGAGATATATGAATAGGTTTAGAAATTCTGTATCCTAGGAAACCATCACAAGCCTCTAAAGCTATGCTGGAGATAGCACTTTATTTGGATAGTTGTGTGTTGATAGCCAACCTTCTATTAACAGAAAATAGATGTTCAGCAATGTGTAATTTAGCCCTTGTACAATAGCTGGAATTTTGCAGAACTAATGCCAACCCTGATATGATTTTAGTGGTGTACAGTCACAATTGTTGGATACTTTTTATTTGTAACCCTCAGTTTAAAAAAAACATGATTTCACTGCATACTCTACACTACAGTATGGTAAATATTACAGTATTTATTATTTATGACTTGTTAATCATCTCAGAAATTAGTAATAATATACAAGTTACAGTGACAAAGGACATATACCAAAACAATGAAAGCATAATGGGCCCTTAACCTGGATACCTATGTTGATGTTACTAATGAATTAGTGTCCTACAATAAATAAGATGTCACTTTTAATAATGCATTATTAAAAGCAACTTGTACTTGAATATTAACCGTATTATAAGTGCTGAGTAACCCTTCAACTCTTATATACACAGTGCAAGTAAATTAAATGTGTCATATGAGGCCACACATTAAAGTACAAAGAGTCATCACCAACATCCAGAGCATCCCACACATAGACATAGCCATCCCATTAGGACAGCAGTGTGAGTGTGTGTGTAGATGTGTGTGTGTTTGTGTGTGCATTTGTGGCCAAGCTTATCTGACCTTCCAGAGTGTTCCTGAAGCTCATGTTGGCACTGCGGTCCATGGCTCCGGTGTCATAGTTGGGCAGACTGAGCGTGAACTCCACCTCTGCTGAAGTTGGTAATCGTTCAACCACGTTACGATTGTGGTTTCCAGGGTTACGACGCAACGGGCCCTCTTCCCTGACATCACACAACACACCTCTGTTATTGTAGTCCTCTGCTCTGGAGCACAGTACCTGCGGATGGAGACACACGGCGAACCGATTACAGTATACCGCGCATGAAAGCACTAGCACACACCCCAGCAATTTGACAGTTTCAGTGGGTTTGGAATTTGGCTCTGCTTGTTAATACTGTCAAGGTAAATCTCACCCAAGCAGGCCAAAGGTAGCCTAACTTTAAAAGCATTTTATATATATATGATATTAATTACTTTTTTTTTTTTACACATTCTTTATGATCTTTCAAGTAAAAATGTCTGAATGTGTATGTCTAAACACTTCAGAACTGATCCCTACTTTAATAGAATAAAGTAATCAAGAAAATAAAGGAAAGGAAAAACAAAGGGAAGGGAGAGAGAGAAGAAGAGAAGATGGAGGACTTTAGTGTGTTTACCCTCCAAGAGGAGAAGACCGAGCCTGCGCTGAGGAAACTGGGATCAAAGGGGCTCCGGGCCCCCATCAGCTCGTCCGTGCACACATCACATCCCTGGGCATCCCTCCAGTCCCAGTACGGGATGGTGAAGGTCATGTCTCCAGTCAGCTTCCTGATCTCGTGCTCCCAGTGCAGCAGGTACACGCGGTGCCACGGGAGAAACGCAGGCGCCCAGTGGGCAAAGTCCACATTGGACCACACGTTCCCCGGCCCGCCTAACAGCGCGTCCCGGGACACATAGTAATGCATCCACACAAACACATCATACACTGAAACATCAGCGAACATCGGGCTGGAGCCGTTTCCCATCTCCTGGTAGGTCCCTGTGGCCACAACATAGTCCCTGCTGACTGTCTGCTTGGCCAAGTTCAGGTAGGACACAAGTCTGATCCTCTCGGCCCTGGACAGGTGAAATACGTTCCTCCTCAGAGACTCTCTCCTCTCATTGCAGTTGACGCCGAAGTAGCCAAACTGGCAGTCCGCGCAGTTGAAACCCATGAAGTTCCCTGCGCACTGGCAAGTCCGGTTGTAGAAAACCAGGGGCCACTTCTCCCTGTCGTCCAACCCGGAGAAGGGGTACTGCGGCCCGTCGGGGTTGTTCGGCACCACCACATCCTGACAGAAACCCCGACCCGAGCTCGCCCCGCAGGGCGACCCGTCCCCTTCCCAAGACGGGCAGCACTCCTTGGTGCGCAAAGCTTCCTGGGTGGCACACAGACGCGGGAATTGTTGATAGCTGGGCGCAAAACATTCCATGAAACTAAGGATTATCAGCGGCCACATTACAGCAAGGTTTTAATTTGGAGACGGCAAGCAGTGACTGAGAAATGAGCCAAATGCTCACAGTGGGAAAGTCCATGTGATGCTTTCCCTGGCTTAAATTCCTCAGGGGGGGTTTTCTGGGCACCTCCTCTTTGTTGAGCCAGTCACATGCCGCTTAACCTCAGGGTGAAGCTTACTTTATGAGAGGGGGGCAAATTGGCCCGAATGCCCAGATCCTAAGATTGCAGCCAAATTCTTTCAGAAAAAACAAGGAATAACTCTAACTCTCAATTCAGTGAAGCATTTGTATAAGGGGATTTGCAGTATTTGGGGGCCTAATGAAAGTTTAATGCCATCATTACGACTTCGGCTACATTATACCATGATATTGATGATAAACTAAACTAATACTACAAAGACAGAAAACCCCATATGAAGAAAGACATTAGCAGAGAAAATGGAAAGCAGCAATTCCTCAGATGCAAGTCTACGTGGGAAAATAGAAAAATCTCAACTTAGACAGAACTTACTAGCATCTAGCAGATATGAATATTCATATCCAAGGTCCTTGCTGGAAATGAAGAATTCTCTGTTTCGGGGGCAGAGGCATATGGGGGATGAGAATTGGGCCCACTTTGTAGTTAACAATGACTCCACAGTGATTTTCTTCTGGGGCGGTTTGTTTCATTGTCCGCGTCATCAGCGTGAAACAGGCGCGTAACTCATGATCTCTCTTCACGCGCACACACAGACGCATACATAATGCCACAATAAAGTAAACTGTTATCCCCGGAATTAGGAGATGAAAATCACAATCAAAACACTGGGAGCTGAGAGAGAGAGAGAGAGA